TGAGACTGAGTCTAAGTCTCCTGTTTACCACCAATTAAGCCACGCAACTTTCTATGAAATTAGCGCAACTCATATTCATGAGTTCAAATGCAATCGAGGCCAATGACAGAGTGTGAACTTCTTGTCTATTGGCCTCTTTCTCGGTATGTCTTAACCTTGGCCGGAGAGCATTGAGTATCATTAAGCTTACAGCTCTTGAGCTGTTGATTTTCTTTGTGTTCTTTTTGTGCTTCTGCTTATGTCACCTGCTTAGAGGCAGCTCTCATATCTTTGCTCCCTTAAATAAGTATTATTTATATTATTTTACTATTATTATTATTAATTTCGAGCTGATATTTGTTGGACAATGTATATTTGGCCAGTTGGCAAGATGGGGTTACAGAGAACATGTTTCAAATGTACTTGTATCTAGCTAGGTATCTGAAAGGCATTTGGCTTTGCTTCTTTGCTGGGGTTCCCGCTTATGTTGCAGTTTTTTATTTCGTTTCTTTCTGTTGCTGATTTCTTTCTTTTTTGCTGATTCTTTCCCCCTGGTGCACTCGCATTCGTGTGGGGCTTTTCGCGCTGATGTGAGTTTTTCCTGCGTTTTTTCATAAATTAAAAGTTAATAAAAGCCGCAGGTAGCTCTAATTTATTTTTAATATTTATTTTTACGTTCGCAGCGGCGTGCGCGCTGCGTGCAAAATTGCAGAATTTCGCTAGAGTATGGGGTGCAGAGAGTATAAATATTTTTTTTTGCTGCTGCTGCGGTGAAAATTGTTTCAAATTAGGTAGCACAACATGCTTGCCAGAGTGTGTGTGCGTATGTGTGTGTGAAAAACACGATTTCTTTCCTTGTTGCTTTAACGAGCTCATGCTTAGTTGCATGTGCAGCTATGTTTGCCATGGGATTGGCCAAAGAATGCTCGAGTTACAGCAAATTACTCTCAAATTATTTTACAGTTCAGTTTTTGTTCAGGTGAAAACTGAAGCCGGATTCGGAGATGAGCTTCAGATGAACTGAACTGAACTGAGCTGAAATGAAAGCAGCAGAAGGAGAGAGAACAAATTGAGTTGAACATTTAGAGAAATTGTCTTAAAGATGCAAGTTAAGAAATCTTCAAAGTCATTCAAATCAACTCAATTAAATTGTGAAGTTTTTAATCAATTGGCATTAGTTTTTGACTGTAGTCGAGCGCTTAAAATTTGCATTTAATTTTATATTGATAGTTCTTCATGTTTTCGATTTGTTTTATTTAATGTTTTTGACTGTAGTCGATCGCCTAAAATTTGCATTTAATTTAATATTGATAGTTCTTAATGTTATCGATTTATATGTTTAATTAATGTTTGCGCCACTTCAAGACCACAGATATCTATTCATCGAAATAACATGCAGCCTATTCAGTCATATATCATTTAGATATAGAAGCTTCTCTTGGCTATCGTTGCGGCCATAAAGTTTGAGCAAAGTTGGTTAAATCCAATTAAAAGCACTTGCCAAATGCAGTTTGCCGCACACAAAGAACATTTTAAGTTTCGCACTCACACACACACACACACACACACTCGCACTTGCACACCTAGCTTGTAATTATTTGTGGAGCCTGGACCTTGGCTAGCTAGCCAAGGCTTGGGTCAACTTTAATGATCTTAACTCAATCGCAATCGTAATTCCAATTCGCAGTCGCAATTTTCACTTTTTCAATTAATTTTCTGTCAACGTTGGCGAAAAACCAAACTTTTTGCCTTAGTTATGACTTGCTTGGGGGCGTGGCTCGTGCAGTAATTGCCTCAAAGCGGGCCAAAGGGTAGCAAATGCCAGAGTTATTAACAACATGTGTTGCAGCCAGCAAAATGAAATGTCCAGAACGAATGGATGTCGGATGGGTGGGGGCCGCTTGCTTGTGGGGGGACAACAGATTAAGTTTATGGCCCTTAAAGCTGGCAACGTGCAACGTGCAACTTGCAACTTGATTATCTGCTGCTCTCAATTACAGAAAGGAAAGCAAAAGCAAACTATTCTTTTCTTCTTTTGCTGTCTTTCGAACTCAAACGCAATTTGTGAGTTGTTCAAGAACAACTGAAATCTCAACTAAAGTCGAAGGAGAGGAGCAGGGAGGGAGGTCAGTCGTCATATTATTGATGAACAGTGTTCAGTGTGCTTCAAAGAGCATAAGTTATTTGGCATGGAACGGAACGGAACGGCCCGGAATGAAACGGAATTGAATTGCATTGAATTCAAGTAAAGTAAAGTTGACGCTAAAAGGCTCGCACAGAAGTCAACTATAAAGGGGAACCAGCAGAGCAGCTCGCAAGTGAACTGAAAGCCAAATGGAATTCGAGCGAAGGATTCCCTAGAGAACAGCAGAAGAATTTTCGATAGAGCGCATATATTGAGTCGTGTCTGATTGTTTTTTGTGAAAGAAATTTGACTGAGACACACAGCAGGCTGCTTATAAACAATTTATGGAATTTTTAAATAAAACTGTTAGACAAGACTTAACTCGCATCTCGCAACTCTCAACTCTTGCAGCTGCAAAGTTTTTGTTTTCATATTTCATATTGCAAACGCTTTGACAGCAGGTTTTCCTATTCACCTTGATTTAATATGACCCTGAAAACAATGTGTCAAGTCAGTTTGGTTCTCTTCCAGCTGAAGAGTTTTGCAAGGTAACACATGAATGATATAAAGTGACAACCAAACACTTACCCTAAACGATGGAGAGGAAGGGAGCGAGCCAGACCCAAACTTTAGTATAAATAATGAGGCAAAAGTTGGGAAGCTCAGCTGCAAATTAGGTTAATTAAAAACCGCTCGAGGACCCTCTCAGTCACTCACTCTGTCTCTCTCCTTTCTCCTTTTTCACTCTGCTCTCAACTCTCCACGTAAGTCACACTTGGAATCTCTTTTTGCCACCTTCTACCGAACCAAAAAAAATGAAAATTTGGCAAACAAAATATAAAAAGCGAAGGAAACTGAATTAAAAAAAAAAAAAACGACAACGAAAAGTGCGACGCAAACTTTTTCAATTAAAGTTAATTTTTGTTCTTGTTGTTGTTGGCTCGTTTCGCTTTTTTGCGAGCGCATTTCCTGCCTTAAACGTTGTCAAAAAAGCGTCACAAATTGAATTTTGATCGATATATAATGCATAGACGGCGCGAGCGAGGGCGGCAGATGTCAAGCGGCCAAGTGGGTGCACATAGCAAAATTACAGCAAATTAGCAGCCAAGAAAGGTCAAATCAAAGTGGGTGCTGACGGCAATGGCAGATTCTTAGGATGAAGCCTCGCCGTCAGCGCCATAATGAAAAGGAATTTCCGAAGAAAGATGACGCGATTATTGATGTGGAAGTGATGCTTTTTTAAGAAAATATATTAAAACGAAGCTGTAGGCTTAGTTCCATATATTTCCTTAGACAGCTGAGTTCATAAAATTAGTATTGCGGCAGGAGCTCTAAACGTTTGAAAGCAATTTGAAACAAATATTAATGTTATTAATAATTTATTAATAATATATATATATTTTTTTACTAATTTAAATGTTTTTATTTTGTTAAAAAAAAATGGGAATATATGAGAAAAATGAATATAAATGAATACATTATAAAAGTTAATGTGTATATATAGATAAGACATAATAATAGCTGTAGCATATGTATTTCCATACGTTTCTCTATAGAGTAAATAGCAAATATCAGTAAAAACAATAATTCATCGACGACTTTTCGGCTCATCTTGAGGATCGCAGTTGACACCATAATTCTAGATAAATTCGTTGTCAACTCCGGCGCAGCCCCTAGAGCACTGACTATGTGCTGTGGCAGTGTTTGCATTTTAGCAATCTATCAGCTACTCACCTAAAACACACAAATTCTCATAAAACGTCCGCCTCGCCGTCCGCCCGCCCACTCTGACGTATTTACTGGCAGAGCACTTCAAAACAAAAACGCAAAAATTCCGCTGGGAAACAGACCGGCTTTTTTATGCGCCTCGTTGCGCTGCCACTCGCCCGTTCCGCCCCTTCTGCGCACCTCATTTGCCTTCCGCTCTTAGCGCCCACTTCACTTTACAGAATGTTTGACACATAAAACGCAGCGCCACGCCCCTGTGCAGCATGCTTCCCCCTTAGTGCCGCTTGCCCCATGTCAATCGCACATTTGGGCTCAGTCCCTTTTTGTTGTTGTTGCTGCTGCCGCCGCCGCCGCTGCTGCTGCTGCTGCTGCTGTCTCTGGCATATTGTAAAACATGTTGAACATTAAACGAAACGGTGATAAAAAAAATAGCAGGAGGAGCAGTGAGAAAAAATCTAGTAAAATAGAAAATTCACGCGCAAGTTTATTGAACCACAGAGAGACAGCTGTTAGCGAGAGCAGGAGACAGAGAGAGACAACAAGAGATGAGCCCAGTGAAAACCCTAGCAAATATCAATTCAGCATTCATTCTCATCCCCCCATTTATAACCCTATCGCCCGCACAAGAGTCGCAGCATTAAGTACACACATCAAAATATTTGAATGAAAAGTAAGCAAAGTAGCAGCCCAGCCACACCACCACCAACACCTTCCTTTCCCCATTGAGCCTTAGCTACGCCTCTGTCCAAATATCTCTTTCACTCTCTCTCATACTCTGGGAATCTCCTCTATATGTTTCGTTTGGCATAAACATTTGAAACCCCATTTTGCTGCTGCTGCTGTAGACTATTTTTTGCCGCTTTCATCAAATACTGGGCATCATTTCACTTGAATTTCAGTTCCAATCCAAAAACTGTCTGACTGCCCCTGGCTGATGGCGCTGGCCTCGCGTCGTCTCTGTCCCCTTTCTGGCCTCTGGCGCTCTATTTGCCGGTTGCCGTGTTGCATGCTGCGCCCTGCTGATGCTGTTTCTGCATATAAAATCGATAATTTTCTGCTCAAATGTGCAGAAAATTACGTTGATGCTGGGCATATTTATTATATATATATATATATATATATATATATATATTTTTTTTTTTTTTTCTTCATATGTCTCGTACACCCTGCTTTGTATTATTCGCTCGTTTCGGGTATTTTACCATATGCCAAAGTTCAACATTTCATTTTGTCTTGCGGGGTACTATAAACAGAATTTTATGAGACAAATTAAAGATTGGAAAGAGAAATGTATGAAAGTTCTTTGAACAAAAATCAAGATTAGAAATTACGGTACGAATCTATAGATCTTTTTTAGAAAGATTAATAAACTTGACTTAATTTTTGTGTGGATAAAAAGATAATAAAAATTTAAAAAAATATATATATATACATATATAAATATTTTAAAATTGTAAAATATGTGACATACAATAAAAGCCCTAGAAAATATGTATAATATGTTTTCTCTCACCCATTAAATTATATAAATGACATCAAGGCAAATTATTTTTTAGTTAAAAGATTCATAAAAAGTCGCATGATATCATTATAATATCAATTTACACACTTGCTGCTGCCTAATGATTCATATAGCTATAAATATATACATATATAAATATATATATTTATATTTACATCATCGCAGCGAATCGAAAAACCATTAAGTGTTTCTTTCAATCAAGTGAAACGAGAATTTCTTTTGACTTGGCGCGAATAGCAAATAGAAAGAAAATTAATGAGCAAATTGTGGGTTAAAGAGGCAGCGGCCTCTAGAACAAGAAGAAGAAAAATAATGTAAATATGTTTGTGTCATATTTTCGTTTCAGTTTCCGATTCTGTGTGTTCAATTTATTTCACTTATTTTTTAATAGATTTTTTATTTATTTTTTGTTGTCATCTCAAATGGCGATTTAGTGGCCTGCTTTATAGTTACTTATAAGCAGTTCGTGTGTGGCAGCCCGCCTGCATGTCAATGACCCAGGGCAATGTGTGCCGACATTGGCTTACAAGCGAAGATGTGGCCAAGACAACTGAACTGAAGTCAAGCCACAGGCAGAGGAGGAGGCGTGGGCAGCAGCAACAGCTGGTGGCTTAAAGTAACTTGACTCATATAATTTTAATATTTGTCAGCCAGTACGATTCGCTGTATGTCTCACATGCAACGCCCTCTTAAGCTTAGGAGTGTGTGAAGTTTACGAGTTGTCCGCATACTTTTCAGAGGGCCTGTGGCGACGAATAACTAAGTCAAATTGTCAACACTTGAAACACATTTTAAACTTGTTCTTCTCCACTCTATATCGCGCTCTCTCTGACTCTCTCTTGACTTCTAACTGGTTTTCGATTGCTTCTCTTAGCTGCTTCGCTCGCGGTCGGGGTCATATATTTAATTGGGCTACATTAAAAGTTGATTGCACTTAAAGTAAGATTATTCGTAGGTCAAAAGTGCAATTAAGCGTGAAATATTTATGGGCTGTGCATAAATGAATACAATCAAATCTGAATCTTAATAAGTAAATAAAGGTAACATACATTACGAGTAAGTGAACAGAGTAAATGTGGTTAAGATTTAAATGGAATAGCGGGCAGATTAAAGATGAAATATGAACGATTAAAATGTTAAATAAAGTTAAAATTATTTCGGCGACAACTTTTAAGGAACAATAAAACCTTTTAGCTCGTCAGATACTTCACTTCGTTTAGTGCAAACACAAATAAAACAAAATATAAAAAAATTGGAATATTTCAGTTATGTATATTTGAAATTAATCTCTGGCTCAAAGCTATGCTAACGGCTACCTTGGCAACGGCTACATCTGCCGCCCATTTTAAGCCAGGTCTAAATTTAACCAGCACTCGACCTCATTATGCAAAATGACGAGACGACTGTCAACTGCAGTCGCCCCCCAGATATTTGCCCAAATTACTCAGTAAAGCATTGGGTCATGGCATAATCCGCCAGATAAACCAAAAAACAAGAGAATCACAAAAACAAAAAAAAAAATAAATGGAAATAATTACAAATATTGCATTTTCCATTATTTTAATTAGTGAAATATGTAATGCACTTTGTACAATGCGGTGTGGATTGCTGAAAACTTTTTATATAAGAGAGAGGAAGGTATATATGGAGAGAGAGATAGATAGAGCAGGCAATACAAAAGAGGAATAAGAATGAGCCGCAATAAAGTGGAAGTGGAAACATTTCCGGCTGCCGCAAAACTGTTTCCTGGCCAACGATAAAATACATTTTTATGCCAAAGCCAATGTGCGTGTGTGTGTGTGGGCGGTTGGATGGTTGGGTGTATAAGTGGTTGGGATGGTAGTTAAGGCTCGGTCGAAGCGATGCTGTTAATTTGGAAATGCCGCTTTAGAGTTGCAAATGGCGCGTTCTGCGTGTCTAAAAAATCGCACTATTTGCAAAGCATAAAAATACATATGCACACATATATATATATATATATATATATATATATATATATATATATATATATATATATATATATATATATTATATATATATATATATTTATATATATATATATATATATATATATATATATAAAGTATATTTGCTTTTTTTCAAATTGTCTGCTCTTAAATTGAAATTAACGAGGCGTAAATTTCAGTGGGTTAGATCCAAGTACAAATAAAAGGGATACGAAATAAAATTGAAATGAAACTTTTGCTTTAATTGGGCGCTAAGTGCAAAGAAGGACGAAACAGAGCCAAAAAAGGATGCGATGCTCGAATTAAAATTAAACGACTTTCAAATGCTCTTGCCAACTTGCTGCACTGGAAGAATGAAAATTTTTTTAGATTCTACTGAGTAACATCTTACGTTGATTATCAGGCTGATCAGTCACTCTACATGCTAAAGACCTCCCAACTCTAAAATATTCTTCCAAGCATCATCAACTGTTAGTGAACAAACGGAAATGCCCAATGGTTAGGGTATTTACAAATGTTGTGGGTTTTGTTAGATGAACGCCTTAAAAGAAGAGCCCGCATCGAGAAAGAGAGAGAGAGATAGATAGAGAGAGAGAGAGAGAGAGAGCAGTAACAGCTCGTCGTGAGCTGTCAGTAAGAATTATTATGCTTGTAATGCAATGCTCAGACTGAGGCGGCCAGAGGCGTGGCTATAGAGCATGTCACACCCACACGTGTAGGACGACGCCGCTGTGGAAATAAAAAGCCGCAAGGATTTATCACTCTGGCATCTTTGGTATCTGTGGCGAGCCAAGAAAACAGAGGAGAGTCGAGGGCAGACAGAGACCGAGACCGAGACCCAAGCTGAGGCAGACACATTTCATGCTAACAAGCTGGCCCAAGAGCTGGCTGCATGCGTTGCATGCAACTTACTTACCTTGCCTAGCGGAACAGCAGAGCCAGAGAGGGAGGGCGAAAGAGAGAGAGAGAGGTAACTGATGCAGGAGGCTGCTTAAAATGCTTTGCCCTGGCGGCTGCTGTCGTAGCATATGTAAAAGGTATTATGGCTAAAAGCAAAAATATTGCATTCGACAGCGCAATTTGTTAGCCATTTGAATGATGTCGATGTGTGTTGCCGGGTGGTGCTGCTCGCCTGCAAAAGGCCAACTAAACTGATAACGACAGCCACCTAAAGTGAGTTTAGCATTTGTGTGATTCGATTGTGGTTGGCACTGTGCAAAGTATCTGCACACGTATATATCTATACATATCTATGTATACATATATATCAATATATCAATGCATGTATGTGGCAGATGTGCATTTGTTGTGCATAGATTGCGCTGCTCAAGTTAATTGCAACTAGTTGTTGCAGCTCTGGCCAACTGACAGCATATGCAAATGTCTGGGTCTCTGGGTGGTAAGCACCACAATTGACAGTTACACGGGCCTGGTGTTCTGCACGGATTGTGGTGGCCCAACGAAAGACGGAGAACAGCTCACAAGTGCGTCTCAAGAAGTCTCAAGCTCGTATGCTTAAGTAAATTCGAATGTTAGTGTTACAGCTGACGTGCAGCTTATTATTAAAAACAGAGAGAGAGAGAGAGAGAGAGAGAGAGAGAGAGAGAGAGAGAGAGAATAACAGCAATCCATCAACTATAATAAGTTTCTTAATAAAGTAAGAGCCTTTAGCTACAATTGAATAGTAAGCAACCACGCCCACTGCCAAACTTGCCGCCTTATAATATTAATTATGTTCCGAGTTCGCAGTTTAGTGCCCAAAGAGTGTTCAACTTCAACTGCAACTGCTCAACTTGGATTACAATTTATGCCAAACAAATTTTCAGCAAATTGCCAAAACTGTGCCGCAGCCCGCACGCCCCATCACCTCGGCTGCCGTCACAAAAGCCCAGCAAACTGATATGCAAAGTTTTTTGCTCATTTTGCGCCTTTGCTCTTTAGGGATTATGAATGCGAATGAAAATTTAGCAGCCGTTAGAGGCTAGGCGCCAGCGGGGTATAGAGGGAGTGGGTCTCGGGGTCTTGGCTTAGGGCGTTAGCTCTCTTATTACTTGAATGATGAAGTAGCTGTGCGCATAATTTGCTTAAATAATTCGCCAAGCGCTGCTCAAGTCTTGGTGCACTGTAAAATACCCTGTAGTCTTGAGAGGTGGGTGAGCTTTTAGACAAATAATTTATGACTGTCTTTTAAGTAGAGGCGTTGAAACTTTAAGGAAAACTTGAAGATACTTAAATCAGTTGCTTGCCACGTCCAAAATACTGTTAACAGGGTAGCTGTTAGTCAATCTCTGGCTTTGTTTATTTTTTATTTGATTTTGGGGCCTGGAAATGGAAATGTTTTGTATGCGGCGGAAATGCGCTGTGCAATTTAACAGTTTCGCACGAGCAATTGCAATCGCAATCGCAATTGAAAATGTTAATTGCTGTTGCCGCCCTTTGGGACACACACACGTGGAGAGCACTGAGGCAGGGGGAAAATGCAGCTTAGAATAGTGAGGCAACTGGGTTAAAAGTTCAATGATATGTTAATAATAGTAATGAAGAATGGGAATGGCTACAAAAAAAAAAGAAAAGTAAATGCATTGTCAGAGATGTACATGGAGGAGAGACGACGAGACGAGTTTAGACGCATTACCAAAAGCTACAGCCAGTTGAATGTGGGTGAAAGTTGGCCATTGCTAATGCAATGAGCATTTGAATTTCATGGCATTGCGAGTCAGTTAACTCGGCTCGGCTCATATAATAATTATGACAATTTCACCTGACTGACACACTTTTCTTTCTGTGAGATATCTCTGCGTGTCTTTGTCAGCTTATCTGGCTGTGAGATACTTTTGCGACAGCCAAGTGTCACAAGCTACTTGGAACATGAGACTGTGAAGTCTGCCAGTTTCATTGAAAATATTTAGAAATTATTGCAAGAAAAAGTTAATACAGAGCAAGCTTAAGATATTTATTGTTAAAGCATAAGCTATATACGCTGCCCTAATACTACCTGTTCTGCTGCTGCCACAAGCTGTTAACCCCTTTGCCCATCCAGTTGATATGCATGGCAAATGAGCGGCTTTTGGCTGCTGCATCTGACAAGCGTGTAATCTCTACATAAGTGAAAGAAAAACAGGCAAAATGAAAAAAGTGTATGTGTGTGTGTTTGTGTGTGTTTGTGGTGAGGGTTGCCTTCCTCCAGTCGCATTGCCCTCGAGTCATTCACGTGGCTGCAACACGTGCCGCGCTTGCTATCAGCTGGCATACAGGCGAGCCTCAAAACTGCGGGGCGTTGCCTGTCAACATGTGTGACAGACGCCGCATGTCATCAACAGAAAGAGCAGAAAGAGAGGGAGAGGGGGAGAGAGTGAGAGCTAGTGTTAGAGGGAGCTCAGGAAATTACTTTTGCCTGGGCTTCTTCAAGTAAAAACTAGCTAAAACGCAGTCTCTACTTGTA